AGAAGGTGGCCACATGGAGGGCATATGCAGGGTAAAAGCAGCAATGGGGAACATTAACCCATATGGTGGGAAAAGAGAGGAGAAGGTTATAGAACATTCAGAGAGGTACAAAAGGGATCAAGGAGGAGAACAGAGGCTCAATAAAACAGGAATGGCCAACAAGGACAAACAGTGGCACTAGTAACGTAGATAAGTTATCTTATTTTGGAAAAAGTATTGGGTTGTTGAGAAAACCATGATGCATTTTCACATAGAAAATATAAGAAAATACATCCGGACTTTCCCTCAGACCAAATATACCGCCCTGATCAAGTAAATTAATAGAGAGCTTAGATAATTCAGTAACAGTAAAATGACAGAAGCAGAAGACTCTTTGCAGTGAGTGGAGGAAATGAATGAAGACCAAAGAAAAAAACACTGATAGGATTTTATGACAAGGACAGGGTTTAGACTGAAGCTAGGGAGAAGTGCTGGTGGCATAATGAAGAGTATGGAGGGGACGGAAGTAGTGCAGTGGTAAAATACAACATTCTGTGAGGCTGGCCCAGATGGGGAAGTTCTGGGTGTGAGTTGCTCAATGATATAGGACTGGCTGACGCTGGGTGTGGATTGTGGTATCACAATCCTTTGGGGGGTTGGGTGCTATTTGTTTCTTTCTTGAAAGAAATTAACAAACTGAAACAAAAGAGTTATGAGGCTAGAGGTCAAAGTATGGAGTCTCACCTCCTGTCTACCACTTACTAGCTGTGTGATCCTAGACTAATCTTCATTTTTCTGGGCCTGTTTCCTTGTCTGTAAAATAAGGTGGCCGAATCAGATGGGCTCCATGTCCCTGTTAGTTCTGATTATGTGGCACAGCCTGTGGATCTTGCAACATAAAGATAATGGTAATCTTCACAAGAACAAATTTTATGGAATAGTGGGGATGGTGTTGGTTGAAATGTGGGTGAATAATCCTTCCTTAAGAACCCATTTATGAAGAAAAATTGAGGCAGAAAAACACATGCTCCAATATCTGTGATGGGACTTCAAACCAGTGAGACAATATTCTGAGGTACAGCTCTCAGGTCTCATTCAGAGGTCCAGCCCTTGACCAGATAGCCAGGAGGTGGAAGAACTCCAGAGGAAGAACTCATACTGATTCAACACACAGTAAACATAACTGAAATGCTTCATATGTGAAACAGCTGGACAGCCAATGTCCTTCCAGTCTCAGGTAGTTTATGTATCAATTATATATCAGGTAGTTTAAGTATCAATTATATATCAAACTAAACCTTTGAGGAGCAAATGGAACATTAAATAGGCTCCCAAACAGAGTCTGAGTGATAAACATAGATGAATAATCAAAGGATTTAGGCACGTAGGATTTTTCACATATTCAGAAAGAATTAAACAGAAGAAATGGTGTTCATCTACAGATCTTCTATCTTCAATTCCACGTGTCTCTATTACATGACAGCTACTTGGTACTGCCCTCCTTCGAATGTCCCGTTTTGTCTTTCATCCATTTTTGGGATTGTATGTTTCATAGAGTACTTACCCTTACCTAGATGTATATTTAAATTTCAATTTCTTTTAATGAGGTAATCTAGTCTCAATAAAATAGCACTCTCAATCAAAAAACATTCTTTGAAAGATAAATGTTGAGTGTTTTATGTGATCCTAAAAGCATGGTACAGAAAAATGTGATCTTGTTCTTGACAATAACTATGTGTCCAGATTTTATTCTCTCCTGTAGTCTTCTTTTCTTTTCTGAAGTCTTAATCCTCAATAAGAAAAAGATATGTATATACCACCTACACCAATAAGTTCTTCAGTTCCTACCTAGGACACCTAAGTCAACACACATACATGTCATATTTCTTACTATGATAAAATTTATTCCACATGATAGATCTGTCTTCTGGGAAAGATTTATACAATAACTTCTTTTTTTACCTAATCTGGTAAAAAATTTACACAACTACTCATAATGAGTAGTAATAGAAGTTTAACTTGGCTAATGAAGAATGTGAATAAATGAATATGTATTATGTATTATGTCTTTTATTGCTAACATTATTTTTAAGCTTCTTTTTTAAAACTATGCATATTTAGATAATTTTCTATGTCAGTCCAAATAATATGGTTGACTGTACATTTTTAACTGTAGAAAGTATCATGAAATTTTATCACTTAAATACTATAATGAATAAAAAAGGTGATAGTAATAAAGCAAATATTGAACAAATTAGTGAACTTTTGAAACACAAAGGAAATATTTATAACTGAATTCCAGTAACTGGTCAATAGAAAACATCACTGCAAGCTCTTATTAATCAGGTTTAATAAAGGAGGTAACCTTTTGCATAAAGACTCATTTTTGACACTTACTAAAACACCGTATTGTAGGGACAGCCAGCAGCATGGTGGTTCTGGCAACTGGATCCTCTATGACTGACTGCACAGTTCAAGTCCTGGACCCAGGGGCTCAAAAAATGGTAGGCATGTGTGTATGTATGCCCAAAATTCCAAGAGGAGAATGGATTGCTGCTTGGCCATCTCCCCAGGAAATGCTTTCTCATTTTCTCTCTCTTTCCATTTCTCTGTCGCTCTCTGGTGAGCACACATACCACATAGCAAATTCAAAAAATATATATTGTAACATTTAAATAAAACAATATCGAATAAGACAGCGGTATGCTGTTTAAGCCAGCTGGATCCCATGTAGTTGACTGCATGGTTCAAGTCCTGAACCCAGCAGCTTGAAAACCATGCCAGGCATGTTTGTGCTCAAAATCCCAAGAAAGAAAAAGAGGAGGAGACGAGAAAGTGTGACCATCCCCCATGGGGCTGCTTCCTCACTTTCCTTTTCTCCCTCTCTGTCTCTGTGTGCAAGCACACACTCCTGCTAGCAAAAACAAAATAAAGAAAAAAGGGAAAAAATAAATTAAAAAGCATAATTTAAAATATTCTCCTATGGAAATGGATGATAGAGATTATCTTTCTAATTATCATTAATATTTCAGATATTATTAAAAACTTGACTTTGCTTTAAGGACAAATTCTCCTAGTCAAGTAACTATAACCACATCAGTGTGTAAATACTATTCATATATCTACCTTTATTTTCAAAATATTCCACCTCAAATAATATTATAATATTTAGCAATTTAGAAATATCAGAAAATATAAACCATGCACACATAATAAAAAACAAGGTATATTCCCTTTAATAAACAATATACTAAGAAATAAGCGTCCAGTTTTGCTTGATTTTAAATGCACAAACAATACCATGATCATACACAAGCACATGCAGATAAATATAGTCATTCAAAACACATTTACACACTATTTAAATTAAATATGAAAATACAAACTCTTCTAGGTATGTTAAGCATTACAAAATTTTAAAAAGAGGAGATTTTTTTTCATAAATGTTTTAAGGATTCTCATCTAAAAATATTTAAATGCATAAGGTATTTTGGTGACAACTGGGAAATTCTGAATATTATCTTCTTACAGATCACATTATGAATTTATTTTATTCCTTTTGCTCATATAACTAATTGCCTTAGCTAGTGATATGGTTAAATATGAAAATGTCTTTATTCATAAGCAATGTCACCATACCTGCAACTTACTTTTATGTGACTCTCAGGTTAATTTTAAAAATTTTAAAAAAGGATGTAGAGAGGGAGAGAAATTGCAACACAGTGACCCTGTTGGTGAATCTGAGATGTGGATACACAAACACGCACACACACATTCACTGCATTACTCCTTTAACTTTTCTACAGACTTAAACTTTTTTGAAATAATATTTCCAAACTACGCTCTTC